TGAATTCTGTATCACAGCAATAAAAACACAACTTTAAAGAAGATATTTCAATGACAGTTAAATAAAATAGAATCCTACTGACCGCTCGTGAGATAGAGGAATAGAAATTCACACTGGAAGCATAAAGACAACTTTCCAAGTAGATCAGTACTTATAGCAAAGCAGTCAGTTATTAATGAGCTGTGATGACAAAGCAAAAAAAATACACAAACATAAGAAGCTTGTTCAAATTAGATTGAAATTTTTTCTAAAATGAGCTTTATGCTCATGGTGATGAGAAACACGCAGCAGATCCAGGCTGTGTTCACACTCTGAGATGTTTGTTTACTGTGCTGTGCAGAGGCCTCCTCCACAGAGGCTTGATGTTTTGATCTGTGAAGTAATAAAGCGACACAACTACTGCAGAACAAATATTAAAAGGTTAAACTTGAGGTAAAGTATAGTCTGACTTTAAGAACAGTTCTGCTGTGTAACGAGCTGCTCACCTTCTAGTACTGCTGACATTAGTGGTGGAATATACACACTTTCATCCTGGTATCGCTCACGCTGACTTCGGTTAAAGTTGAGTTAACAGAGTCTGGCTGGGTTGTAGCGAATTGTACAGCAGCGTAATGAATCTCATCCGTCTGATGGACACGTGGGTCGTGTTGACACTTGAAAGCTCCAGTGAGTAGCATTGTTAATTAAGTGGAGGTGAATAATATGGGTGAACAAAGTGTCCATATACAGTTGTTGTAATCAGCCTGTGTGATGGGTTTGAGCCGATGGGTGACACAGCGTGACTCACCTGTGCTCTGTTGTCTTGCCTCTCTGCAGCCTCTGATTGTTGTTTCAGTGACCTTCTGAGTAGATAATAAAATACATGTTAAACAAAAAACAGGATTCATGTTTTAAGCATGCAAGTGTCCAGTGACATAAGACTGGACAGTACGAAGAAGAGGAATGGTTAAAGCTAACAGAAACTTTATTTATTAAAAACATTATTGTTGCAGTTTAAATGATTAAACCTACCTTATGTACAAAAAAGTGAAGTTGTGAGAATAAATATGGGCTCAAATTGTGGTCATAAAGATTTTGTACTTGTAAAACAGATTTGTGTGCGGACAAAAGTGTGTGTGGCATGTAAAAGGGCATTTATTCCCTTCAAGGACCTGCAGTTCAAAAAAGCGCCACTCCGACAGCCAAACCCATCTGTTCTCTGATTGGATAGTTAAATTTGTGATTGACATGACATTGGCCAATCAGATCAAAGGAAGAAAAATAGGGTCAAAATTCGTACTTGTAACTTGAAACTTGAGTGCAGACTTTCTCACGTATTTTTTGGCTAAGTTCACACACAAATCTTTTTTACACATACAAAACTGATTTACAAGTACAAAATATTTATGACCACAATTTGAGCCCATCGATAAACTGTAACGTAAATATACCAGATACGGTCAGGATAAACATTCAAAAGAAG